TGCGGCACAAGCGTTTCGCCGCGCCATGGCAATAGGCGCGGCCAAAAGTATTAGTTTTGAAAACAAACAATGTTAAATTTAAAATTAGTTTAAAAAAGTGTTAAAATAAAAAAAAATCCCTCTAGTCGGGTGAGCTCGGTAGACAGAGGGGAGTGACATGGAACTGACAGGTGGCCCTCTGCATATGGGTATGGGTCTAGACCAGTTTGGACTATTTTGACACCCAACGGAGTTCAGGGATCTAAACGGTCGTTTTGAGAGTTCGGGGAGCGGGACGACGCAACGCAGAGCGTCGGCGGAGACGATCTGCGAGCGGCGATGGTGAGCGCCGCGCCCGCACTCTCCTCGGTCGGCGTTGCAATCTTTCTTATTACCCCGCTTAATTTCGTTGGAACGGGTGCAGGAGGGCGTTAAGCAGCAGGCCACCAGCCTCGACGTCGAGAGGCAGCCGAGGCCGGTCGGCGGCGGCACGACGGGGTCGGGGAGGGGCCGCCGCCTGCGTGCGTGGACGGAGGAGGAGGTCGCCCGGTAAGCGGTGGAGCGCCGCCGCCAGTACATGTTCTCCCTGCTCGCCACGATCTTGATACCAATCATGACCCTGGTCTTATTCATCGCGCCCTTCCTCGTCACCTCCTGGGACCGGGATGTCCGCATCACCTGGTGGTTCGGTGCGTTATTTGGAGTACAGCATGTTCGCTTGTTGGTTTCAACCAGCCCAAACCAGCCAGCCAGTGTTTTTCTCTCACAATAAACCAGCACCAGCCAGCCCAAAAACCAACCAGCGAACGTCTCCTTTGTCTGGATCCGCTCCCATGACAGAGACTACGGCTACCACCCCGAGATCGACTATGTTATTTAGGCTTTTTGATAATTAGGACTATGTTATTTAGTCAATAGGACAAAACGATAGGTTGATAGCTCGTTGCCAAGGCTTTTTTTAATTAAAAAAAATCAGTAGTATGGTAGTACTTCCTTTTTTTTTTAAAGATCCAGTTCACAACTTAATACAAAAGTTAATTACTCACTAAATTATTTGCAACTGCTAGGGGTCTGAGGACCCACCCTCCAGCACTAGCCCACAAGGAGCAATCATCTCTGATCACAGCAACCACCTGCATCGGCGAACATCTGGAGCTCGTAAAAACAGCGGCGTTCCTTTGCTTCCAAATGCACCATAATGTCAAATTAGAAGCAATGCTGCGTTGGATATTGTAGGCGGACTTAGCAGTGTATTTTCCGGAGCTCTCCAGCATCCACCAAATTTGGTCTTCCTCTGTAGCACGGCAGACACAATAGCTAGCCAGCAAGCCGTTCTCAATAACTAAGCTGAATTGAAAGCATGGTACACCTGCCATCAGGCCATACCCCACAAATTCCCAGTGCTGCGTTCTGGGAGCACACCAGCCAAACACTAACCTCCTGCTGAAATGACAAGCACGACTGATTAACAAATCTAGCTGAACCGGTTGAAGACCGGCGGGCACTGGCTCTATCCTAAGATACATTGATCAGAGGAACTGCTGCTGCACCCTCTGCATCCGCAAATCTAATTAAGGAACCTCCATCTCTGATATATGAACCATCGACCCTTCTTTAAATTAAGTTGCTGTTTGGCTCACTTCTTATGCTTTACTTCCAATACCATACCAAGAGTGGGGTATCACCGTATCAGTGACAACCAGGATTTGGATTTTCATGTTTTCAAACACAGAATCTATTGAAGAAGGAGTGAGACTTGATTGATATTGTTAGACAACCAGGATTTTCATGTTTTCAAACACAGAATCTCTTGAAGGAGTGAGACTTGATCAATATTGTTATTAGAGTGATCACCGCAATTCACCTGATATATACATCAAGAAACGATCCACCAGAATACGGCTTAGATCAAAGTAAAGTGTTCTAGGTGAAGCAAAAGGAAGGCGTCCGGTGAAGATTCAGGTCAGAAAGTTTTAGGAAGGCTATGTAAAAGACTCACACGAGACCTTCTATGCGACCAAAAAAATAACACGACAAAGTTACTGAAAATGTAACAAAAGCAAAAAGGAGGAGCTCCTGTCAGAGTCATCTTGAAAATTCATGAACCATGTATTATATAACCAAATAGTTTGAGCTCCACGAGAGATTATGCTCCAATATAAGAGCCAGAGATGAAACTATTTTTGCCAGAATGGAGTTCTACCAAACGGACCCTAAGTCGAATGCCATGAAGCTTGGCCTCCAAGAGTTCACCCTTGCTGGCTCCGCTTTCACTTTCTCTTCATGTGTTTTTTGAGTCCATCCATGTTTTCATATGCATGTTGGTGTTGTTTTAGGGGTCTTTTTTTTTACTTCAGTTCCACGGGCAGTTCTATTGGTGAAGTTGAATCTGTTTTGATAAAATGCTTGGCTGAATAACTTCTCGTGATAGATAAAAATAGTGAACTATCTATAACATCCTTCTCATTTTCCTTTTATTGCTTTTATTTTCCTTTATTATTTATTTTCTCTCCTCTATTTATTTTTTTTCACTCGACACCCCTTTATCCTCACCGATCGACATCAGTTTCTGGTACTTCGATTTTTTTTTTCTCTCGACGACCCTTCACCCATCATCCTGCCCATATAGGCATCCGCTTCTCTGACTCTGTCCGCATCATCCCGCGCGCCGCCCTGCACACCGATGGCACTCGCGACTTCCCTGCCCCGCTCATCGACGGGACTTCCGATCACACTTGCCCACTTCACCGCTAGGACTTCGACTCCGGCCGTCCTAGCCTAGCTGATCCGCTTCGGTCCGCCGCTATTTCACTCGCTCCAACGATTCCGTCCTGTCTGACGCCTTCGTTCGCCGCGTCGTGCTGGCGCGGATGAGGCACAACGATTCCGCCTCTCAACGAATTCACGCCGCCATGGCGCCTCCGCGACTCCGCCCCTTGACGACTTCACACCAGCGCCTCCGTCCGCTGATGCAGCTCCAATAACGACGACAACTTGACATCTCCGTGCGAGGCGACATACGGATAGAGGCGACTGCAACTCGGTGAGTCGGTGACATTGACACAAAAACACGCTTGCCTGTCTGTTGTTTTTTTATTGGTTATTTGGTGGATTATATGGCTGTATATATTTGTGCTAAAATATAGAGCTCGGTTCTGATCCGATCCATGCTTGCTATCCTTGCGTCGTTGGGTTTTCATAGTTTGGATTTAAGATTCAATTCGATTTCTATTATGTATAGTTTAAACCGGACCGATAACAATTTGGTCAAGATTTTAGTTTACAATTTGATTGGTTGGACAAAAACTGAACCATTTAAAAAATTATAAATTTTATTATTTATTTTAATTATTTATAGAAAAATCGGATAAAAACAGAACTAGAGATCAATCAAACGAAAAAAGACTGAGAAGAGGAAACATAACGTGGAGAAAAGAAAAGTAAGACAAAAGAAAAGAACGGAAAACCAAACATGAAAGAACAAGACACCATATGTGATAAACAAAACTGAAAAGAGGAAACCTGACGTGGGGAAAAAATAAGACGCAAGGAAAAGGGAAACCGAACATGAATAGAAATAAAAATCATACGTGCAAAAAAAACACTGAAAGAAAAAACGAAACCGAGATGGATGCGGCACCAGGACTCAGTTGGAACTTGGTGATAAAAAGGAGAGTAGAAACTATTGGTTGTCTTTTATATGGATACAGCATAAGATTAGGGCAATTTCTATATTTATTATCGTTTTCTTTTTGGATTTCAATTTGATCTCTATGTCTATTCAACCTATCCAGGATTGGTCAAACTTAGTATCGCGATGTATAAGAGCTATTCTAACTCGTATGAGCACGCGTTATTATATATATAAGTTCGGACGGAGAAAACTCTTTATTGTCCGGTAGTTAGAGGGAGATGTACAAAAAATGGACGGACAAAAAAAAAATAGGCTGAAATTTTGCCTTTTTATTAATAGGTATAGATATAGAAAAGATTAGTAAATATTTGATAAGGTTTTATGCCTATATGCTTTTAAAATTTCAAAAAAAACTAGAGGAGATTGGGATAAGTCAAATCAAAATAAAATTTTTAGGGCTCACAAAAATATCTCTAGATGCTTTAAAAAATAGATTTTGCTCTAGAAAAATGGTAAAATATGCATAAAAATCTAGAAAATTCCACAAACATTTTAGTCGGTGTATAAACTCATCATTTTTTTCTTGGCAAAAATATGAGATGCAACTAGCATGAATTCAACATACGTTAATGTTGAATGTATTCATACTATGCATTTGTGTTGGTTGCTAATTATGATTTTTATGAGTTCTTATAACATGTTTATACATCGATTAGAATGTCTTGAAAAATTTCTAAGGCTTTGTTAGATATTATTTCCATTTTCTAGAGATAAATGTATTTTTTGAAGCATCTAGAGATATTTTTCATGATCTCTAAATACTTTATTTGGGTTTGGTATATCCCCATATATCTTTTAAAATTTTAAAATCTTATATAGACATTTTACGTGGTTAAAAATCTTATCAAGTAATTGCCAATTCTTTTTAACTAAAAAAGATAAGGCCACCTTTAAAACCACCACAAACCAAGGTAGAAAGGTAATTTGAACGGTTTTAAGAGTTTATATGGTAAAATGATTGGTTTTAAAGTTTGAGGAGGAAAACAGACTATGGTGACGTAAGAGACTATCGGTAAGAGCTGGTACTCATATAGGCCATTACACCGTCCAATCTTCCGGATGCGTTATATACACTTCAGAATAAAACACCACACTGAACTCAAGGGGTACTACCAATAAGCCTGCAGCCCTCTCAATCAATACTCAGTGGTAACCAATCAAATTGATATGCATCCATCTTTTCCAAAGAATAAAGACATGAATGGCCCCTTATTCACACACAAAATTCTTTGGAAGATATTCACACACAATTGCGGAGGTGCTTCAGAGTTCCAACGCTGATGATGCGAGCTGTTTTTCTTGAGCTTCCACAGAGCTGCGTGCGTAGCTAACCCACCCTCTGCGCCACGGCTGACCTACTCAACCGCTTGCTCTCGTGGATCTTGGCGTACACCCGCTTCGTCCGGACGCAGAGCAGGACGTCGAGGCCGAACCCGACGACGCAGGCGAGCGCCATGATCAGGAAGACGAGGCGGTAGCAGTGTGCGCCGACGCAGGTGTTGCCGCCGCCGGGCACCGCGGTGGCTTCCGCGTCGTAGAGGAGGCCCGCCAGCAGGCCCGAGAAGAGGAAGGAGCCGAGCGGCAGGTTGAGGATGAGGATGTTGTAGATGAGACCGTAGTACTTGAGGCCGAATAGCTCTGACGCCGTAGGCACGGTGACCGCCAGCCGCACGCCGTAGCACATGCCGACGACCACCGAGCCGATGAAGAGGGAGCCTGGCATTGCCAGCGCCATCACGATGTATCCGACGGCCATCAGAACCTGCGAGGCCGCGTTCCACAGCGGGCGTGGAATTGCTCGTGTCCTGGGAATTTTGAAATGTCCATTAAGGTGGTCAGATATTATGTCAAAAAAGAAGAAGATGCATCCAGGAAATGCAATAAAATGACAAGCATTTTCTTCTTATGGCCGGAAGAACGAGGATACGAGATGAGAACTAGGTGTAGTTTGGTTCACAATCAGCAACAGCAACAGCAACGCAAAGGGAATGGATAAATGACGGTAATGAGAGTGGAAGTATGGAACATGTCCTCGCTTGTTTTGTTTTTGCAAGCGGTCAACGAACGGATTTCTGCAAGCGCGGCATCTGTTGCCCCGGCATCAGAATACAAAACTAATGCAATTCGATGATGCTGTGATAGAATCTTCCTGTAAAACAAGCAAACCAAACAACACCTAAAATCAACGGTTCCTTACGATGTACTCATTGTATAAGTTGTAAAAGTTTCTCCGAAAGGATACCAAACTTTGTTTTTGCAGATGAATGACAGTCAAAAGCGATGGCGCACTATGCCTCTGAAACATCACCTAATACTGAATCTAACAAGTCGACTGAGATATCACTCTTTCAGCCATAAAGAAAGCTGGAACCGGCACAAATGCCACCGTCAGAGGAAAAGGACATGCACTTCGCTGATGCAGTAACCAGTAATAAATAGTTATGGCTCCGATCCCTCAGAGCACCTACAATAATTGGTGCACAAAACAAGCAGCGGCAGCTGCTGCGCTGTGCAGCAAAGACAGCCGATCAGGCTCTTACCCACAGCTACCCGTTGCTTATCTGTTTTTTCCGATGCACCTGACACATACAATTATATTCCTAAGGCTATTCCCGGTCCACCTTATATTACTAGTCACATTGGTTTGTGGCTGGACCAATTTCTAAATATGTAAATAAATAGATTCCGCAAACAAACAAGTTACATTTTTTTAACAATCTTAATAGACGATGTTGAATAAAATACCAGTAGGGGTACGCCCCTCCTGTTCAACGTCAAAAAAAAAATACACGATGTTGAATTTTCTGAACCGAGCGCGACACTAATCGATTCCGTACTACGGAGCTACGGGTCTACGACTACGACGAACAGAGACGTGGGGAATTTCTAGTTCCTTTTTCACTTCTATGATTCTAGTATGATCGTGACCCTACCTCATTTGGTCACGCAGGATTTGGAGTTATATGATTCCATGCCAATTGGGGAGAGGCCGAGAAGGAAGGGTAATAACTTACTTGATGAAGTGCTCGGAGATGGTGCCGGAGGCGATGCGACCGAAGAATCCCCAGATGCTGGTCATGGAGACGAAGAGGGAGACGTCGACGTAGCCCATGGCCACGCCCATCTGCCCCAGGTTGTTCATCACGGCCAACCCCGTGCCGACGCCCATGAGGAACGACGCGAACATCAGCCAGAAGTCCAGCGACGTCAGCGCCTGCGCGATCGTGTGCTCCTCCCCGAGCCGCGGCCGCTCGCCGGGGGCCCGCGCCTCCTCCTCCTCAGTCCTCCCCGCCGCTTTTGCCGCGAGAAGGAGCGGCACGGCCGCCGCCGCCAAGGAGTCCGCCTCCTCGAGGTCGGCGTTCGCGGCCTTGCGGGTCTTCACCCACGATTTCCACGCCAGGAGCGCCGGCACGGTGGCGGGGGACGCGAGTAGCACCAGGAGCACGGCGATGAAGACGGCCGAGACGACCCCGCCGCCGCCGCCGAGCCCCGTGAGGTCCGCGGCGAGGAGGTACAGCGCGATCGCCACGGCTAGCGAGTTGATCGCGGCGAAGCAGCGCCCGTCATCCTCATCGTCCGCGGCCGCGGCCGCGGCGCCGCCGGCGGGGCCCTCGCGGAGGAACACCATGGCGAGCGCGCAGACCGCGGCAGGCACGATGGCGAGCATGACGAGGAACGAGGCCGGGTCGTCGGCGAAGAGCGCGGAGCAGGTGTCGGTGAAGATGGCGGTGCTGAGGCCGACGTAGCCCTTGAGCAGGCCGGAGACGGGGCCCCTGCTCCGGCGGAAGTTGCGGATGCAGGTGACGAGCACGGCGGTGTTCATCCACGTGGTGCTGTTCCCGCCGAGGCAGAGGAAGACGCACATCTGCCAGTAAGGGAGCGGCGCGACGGTCCTGGACACGACCATCCACTGCGCGCCGTAGCCGAGGAGGCCCTCGAGGGAGCCGATGGCGAGGAGGAGCCAGGTCGGGACGCGGTCGGAGGCGAGCCCCGCGAGGAGGCCGAACGCCTTGCCCACGTCCTTGGCGACGGAGAGGCCGTTGAGCTGCAGCTGCGTCAGGCCCATGAGCGTCTTGAGCGCGTGCGAGTAGTTGGAGAAGGCGTAGTTGTTGCCGGAGATGCACTGCACCCACACCGCCGTCACCAGACCCAGCCACCGCCCCCACCGCGTCCCCGCCATTGCGTCCAGCGCCGCCGCCACCATCGTTTTCGCTTCCGCCTTTCCAAATGCCCGCCCAGTCGCACTGGCGCTTGCTCGCTTCAAGTTCAAGGCGGCGCGGACGCCGCCAGACGCACGCGCTTGGGTGCTTGGTGCTTGGCCGCGTCCCGAGGAGGAGGAGGTGGTATGGAAGGGAGGCGGCAAGCAGGGGCGGTGGAGGCGCGTCGCTTTCCGGTGCGTGCCGGGGGCGGGCGTCGGGTTACGAACGGCTCGTCGCTGTTGGGGTTTAGGAGGGATGTACTACTAACCTAGAGAGGCAAGCAGGGGACGGTGGTTTTATAAGCGGCTGGGAGCTTGGATTTGTGGGGATGGTACGGCTTCTTCTTGGAGTAATTTATCTATGAAAAGGTCTGATGGCGATGTTTGCGATCATTTTTCCTTTTTGCTCCTTCGCCGTGAGAAGGAGGTTCTGTCATGTTTGATTTTTTATGGAAGGGGACCATCTGTTTCCAATTTCCATTAAGCCCTCGTTTATTTAGATGTAATTTTTTTCTCAAAAAGGACTACTGTAGCAATTTCGTTTGAATTTTGCGTATGAAGATTAAATATAGATAAAATGGATTAACTACAGGTTCGAAGTTGGAAGTCGCGATTTCTAACGTTTTGTCTAATTAGTTTTTTTTCGAACACATTTAATACTAAATAAAAGCGAAAGTCTTAAGATTTAATGAAATGGTACAAAAAAAAAAATTTGGAAACTAAACCAGGGCTTAAGTATGTGCTGGCTGCTGTACATGGTTTTGATGATATTTTTGTCCTCGTCGGCACGTTAGATTTAACCCTTTTTATCCCCTGACCCTAGGCAGGGTTAGCATTGGTAAATGCGTCTCCTGGCAGCTCTGTTCTGCTTATCCGGTCTCAGCTTATTTTAGCTTATTTTAATTTATTTTCTCTCACGTAACATTATTAAATCGTTCGAAATATAGTATACTCTGTGTTTACCACTCCTATTTTTGGAACGGTGATTGCCAGAACTGAGAACTCGCTGATACGGTCGAGGAAATGCTGCTGCCAACGCCATAGGACAGTTACAGTACACAGCAAGAGCACGAAGGTGAGGTTACGGACTTGGACATGGCAAACGACACCGTGCAAGAGTCTCGACGTCTCTTGGGAATTACTCCCGCGCTCCGGCTCGGCACCCCAGCTTTTTCGCTTCGACTCCCAGAAACTGACCCTTCTTGGAGAGCTCTTCTTAAGCCTAAGTACGTACACCAGGGCACCACGCACAAGGTCACGCACAGCCCCACGCGACTCGCGACTCCTAGCACCGCCGCTGGTCCCCTTCCTTCCCCTCCGACCTATCGCCGGAGGCAGGAGGCCACGATAAATGACCAGTAAGTTTCAAATCAGTCTTCCTCATCTTCGGTGGCAAAAAGATAAAGATGGAAGATATCAGAAAGAAGAAGTTTTTTAACTCCGCCTACATAAATGTTGACCGTCATTCATTGGGCATATGTTCTCAGGCCTTTCGCCGATTGTTTGCGTATACGGTCATCCATACTGCAAAGCGTCGTACATGTTTGGTTTTGAGATCTGGAGCTATTCACAACATGGGTATAATTTAGATGAAAATCGGTTTCTGTATTTTTGTGTAATCCAGAGTGCTTGTAACGTGTTGATGTATCCGGCTATTATGTAATATATAATTCTTCTTTCATCCGGAAAAAAAAAAACTGACCCTTGGACAGTCGGACTACCTCCTCTTGTTTGTACTCCGTTCAACATCTAACCATCACCGGAAGCGGAGCGTGCAGGCCAGTTCTCGTACAAGCATAGCCAATCCCGCTCTCAAAACATCTCCGCGTGCTCATCATGAACGCATGAATATGAATCTCAGGAACAAACCGCGGCGCAACGCAACCAGTGTACGCACAAAAGCAACGCGCACATCGCCATCTGCCAACTGCCTGTCTGTCGATGGCTGTTTCGGCCGCATAAATAAAACTAAACAATTCTGAAACCAAACCATGCACGGGGTCCATTGTGCAGCACGAAAATGGCTGCTTCCTTCTCACCCGGGAGAATCCGTAAGAATCCCCGAACGATAAGTATGTTCAGGTAATCAGGTTCAGGACGTGCCGCCAAAGATGTCCAATCAAACGTTTCCATCTTTTTCCCTAAAATGCCCTTCTTTGTTCGTATTACCGTGTTTATCATGGAAAACATTTGTTGCTCCATCAATCTTTTGGAGCATGTACGGCATGTCCAAAAATTTTGTTACACCAAAAAAATGAAAAGGAAGCCGAGAACAACCCATGCATGCGTTACTACCGGGCATTGCTCCGCGAACAAACGAAGGAGACCTCGCCAGACGGTGCCACGGAGGCAGCATGGACGGGCTCGTTGGCGGCCACATGACGCAACGTGATCATTCTGATCTATCCTTGGGTTGGGAAGTCCGTCGGTTTTCCTTTTTCTAGCAGCCCATACCAAACTGTGGGCGCGTTTAGATCCGAAAAATTTTGGGTTTTTGGTACTATAGCAATTTCGTTTATATTTGATAATTAGTGTCTAATTATAGACTAATTATGTTCGAAAGTTTTGTCTCGTGATTTCTCATCCAACTGTGCAATTAGTTTTTTTTCGTCTACATTTAGTACTCCATACATGTGCCGCAAGATTCGATGTGACACTTACTGCGCAAAAATTTTTTGACTTTTGGAGAGAACTAAACGGGGCTTGTGCGTAGGAAACTGCATGCGTCTGCGCCCACGATGATACCTTCCACTTCCAGGTTTCACTTCCGCGTGCACGTGCTGCATGTCGGGGCCCGCCGCCCGGCCGCCGGCCGGAGCCGGCGAGGAAGCCAAGTTCACTAGTGCCACCACACTGCCGTCTTCTTCGGCAGACTTCGATGGATCTCTAGCATGGCAGCTTTGCCAGCTTGTCCAAAAATCAAAATCTAGTACGAGTAGTTTTATGTTTCAGCGAGACGACGCGACGCGACACACTGGTTCTGACCATGATCGTTGCTGCGGCGGGTCGCCCTGTTTGTTGAGGAAGCAAAGCACGCCCGGGATTGCTTGCCGTTGCCGAGCGGACGCGGCCGAACAAATGGGCTGTCAGCTATAGCTCTTCCCATGTGTTTTTATTTTATATAGGAAGTGCCTTACAGCTCGGTCAGAGCCTCAGAGGCAGTTAAGCAATGTGGTTAAAATTTGGATGCGCTTGCGTGCTTTCTATAGGAGTAGTCTAGTACTAGTTCAGGCGAAACAGAGGTACCTAAGGCTTCATTAAATAAAAAAGACAGCGGTAATAGGAAGTAAAAAAAAGCGGTACTAGAATGACGCTGAGGGCCTGAGGAAGAATGGATTCGTGAGGAATCTTTTGCGGGCAGTAGCTCACATGAAGGCCCGGCCGCCAAAAGGTCAGTGCAGTCACTTTACAGATTGGCTGTGTTTAGTTTGTGAAATTTGAAAATTTGGCTCCTATAGTATTTTCGTTTTTATTTGGTAATTATTGTCCAATCATAGACTAATTAGGTTCAAAACGTTCGTCTCGCGATTTCCAACTAAACTGTGCAATTAGTTTTTTTTCGTCTACATTTAATGCTCCATACACATATCGCAAAATTTGATGTGATGGCTATTGTAACACTTTTTGTGAAAGTTTTTAGAAACTAAACACAGCCTCGAGTATTCCGCGTAGAGTAGCGCCTTGTTTAGTTGCTCGTAACTTCCAAAAAATTAAAAGACATCGAATATCTAGGAAAGAAAAAAGCGTTAAACTAGAATTTGCGGGCAGTAACTCACACGAAGGCCCGGCCGCCAAAAATAATCCATAGTGCAGTCACTATTTACAAATAAAAACGTGTTGGAGAACTCCAAAATTCAAATTCCTTTAACTAAACACAGCCTAGAAGTCACAACCTGCAATGAGCCTTATCTTGAACACGAAGAGACAAGAGACAAGGGACAAAAGGTCAGGTTTCCGGTTTTCCCCACGAAGAGACAAGGGACAAGGGAGACAACAAGTGGTTGTGACAGGGACGGTGGGCAGGAATCCGGCGGCCGGCGCTGCGCGTCCTGACGGAAGGAGTACGTGACGGGACACTCAAAAGATCGCGTCGGTCGTACTACACGACTGCGACGGTACGGGCTCAACGTCTCGCTAGCTCCCCGTCCCCGATACGGGCGAGGGCGAGGTGTAGCGGGCCCCGCGGTGAGCCCCGGCGGGCAGTGGCATTGTGGCAAGCTGGCTGCCCGGCCGGCCTTTCGGTGTTTTCAACAGCCGGAGATATTGTAAATGGTACCTAAAAATAGTAATAGTAATAAGCCTGTTCGATACATATACCAATTGCTAGTTACTGTGTAGATAGAATTTTATAAGTAGCCGTAGATATTTTAAGCGAAGCAAACATGTCTAATATATATTTTTTGTTGTATTATTACTTTTTTGTCCGACAATGTATTCCCTCGCACATCACTCCTCGCCACCAGCATCTCATTCTTGTCATCAACATATTCTCAATCCAAATCTAATACTACCACACTATGTTTTCAATACCATTCGTATAACCTATAATATTAAGTCAGATAACAAGTTATATTAGGATAGATAACGCGATTGTTGAATAAACCTTCAAAGCACAAGTTTTATATGTTGTATTATAACGTACGTAGGAACATGTTATATATACTCGTCCTTTCAGCGCTTGGTGCGTACTGTACTAGTATTGTTTTTTTAGGGAAGCGTACTAGTAGTAGTATTGTTATACTAGTTGCAACACAACCTGCAATCACGTCATCTAAAAAAGAGAAATGAAAACAAAGAGCTTCACGAGGCCTGAGACAGAGATTCTTGTGCAGTAATCACTCCTTCATGTCGATTGCAGCCGCAGCCGCAGCTGCAGGCCTTATCACTTTATCAGGTCGGTCGGGCCGGGCCCGGGCCCGGGAGTCGGGACCCTCCCTCACATGTGGTGATAGGCCGCCTCTCGCTCCGCAGTTTGCCGCGTTTTCTCCGCTGCGCCCTGCGTCTGCGTGTACTGTATGGTGCTGTGTGTGTTGGGCGGCTGCTCGGAATTAATCGCGCCTCTCCATCGTGGCTGATACAGCGATACTGATGCTCCACGCACTCTTTCTTGCAGCCGTTTTCCAAAACCCCTCGGCGGCGGACCGAGCCATCCGCTAGTGTGTTTTTGCTTCGTGCTTCTTCATTTGCATTTATAAATTTACGTTGCGTCTCTGAAAGTCCTTAAGTTTCTCCTCCGGATCGGTGAGTCTGGGTGTCGTCGTTGTATACGTTCACCATTTTGGCTGGCGACTTGTAATAATTAAGTTTCAGTCATAGCTCGTGGGTACATAAATAAATGGCATATATGATACTGCTAGGAGTATTTTTATTGCGTCGTAGCAAATGGATCCATCGAACCGGGTACTCTCCAGCGGTATACGAGCTGGATACTTGGTGCTTGCTTCTTCATGTTACTACGTAAGTGGGGACTTTTGCCGTTTTGCGCCTTCATACTGGATTTACCCTTGACGTATGTACTTCCTCTGTCCCATAGTAATCGCACTTCTCTAAATCCGAGGTCGCAATTTTGCAAATTATCAGTACAGCTGGTAAGCTCTGCTGCTGCCTAGAGGTGACATGAACACAGATGCAGCAGCGCGGAACAGGGAACAGGGGACATGTGCTGCAGTGCAAAAACGAGTGAACGAGAACATCCGCACACCGTCGACCTTTCCTCTTTTTTCTATTTTTTTATTACAAGTCAGACTTTCCGTTGGTCCCACGCTGATCCATAAACTTTTGTCCAGTAGGGCATGTTCGCTTGAACTTGTAATTCTAGATTTGGAATGAGCCAAATTTTCTCTAGTTTGACCTATTTTATAGAGAGAGAAAAATGCCAACAGTTATTATGTCTCTATATAGATTTACTATGAAAAAATATATTATATTCAATATAATGATAATAATTTTATATAAAAATTGTTAGTACTTTGTTGTACACAGATGTTTCAAGTTGAAATTGTTTTGCATTTTTTTGGGACTGAGTATTATTATATTATGGTTTATGCGGGTTGATGAGCCTGAAGTAATAGGCCGCACTGCTATAAAAAGGTGAGTTTTGGGCCCAGTCATGCATGTTGTCTTGTGGGCTGGAAAATTCAGGCCTATGAGTTTATGGGACTGCCTGACGTGCAATCGAACGAACCAAAATCAAGGCCCGCTCATCGAAGAAAAGAAAAAGAAAAAAGGAATTAATAAAAAAAAATAGGAGAGGCCCGGTCTGCCGGAGCGGAGGGTGCCGATCCCGTCGCCGCCGCTACCCCCTCAATCGCGAGCAACTCCTTCCGGATTCGCACCGAGCTCTCGACGATTTTGATGAGATAGAAGCCTCAACCATCCGGGCTTCGGTATGCTGCGGAAGGCCGTCGTCGCCTTCATCGCCTGCGCCGCCCTGTACCTCGCCGTCTCCGCCTACTCCCGTCGCCAGGTGTGGCTTTCCGTTCTCCAGTTTGTCTGGTCAGGTTCAGTTGTTAAGATGTCTGACTGACTATACTTAGTTTTCTAAGATAGTTCAGATTAATTAGTGTGTCGGGTCGAGATGGAACGTTGAAGGGGGAATTTAGTGGATCTCTCTGTGCCGGGATCGCTTTATCCTGTAGGGATTCGAGCTCTAGCTGCTCGTAGTAGCATTTCTGCAATGTGATGTCTGAGGTATGCCTGTTGCCAGTATGATGTCACTAAGTAATTTTAGGGAGCTGGTTCCCCTGTCGACGGTACTTTTGCAGAGGAGGTGGTAAGGCATACATGAGATTTGTTTTTCTACTTTGTCGATGCCATTATCTTTACTGCTGAATTGTGTCGTCGTGTGGTTTGGCTCCAGCATTGGAACTAACATGTGTATTGATCTTTTTTTTTTTCAGTAGCTAGTCATGTTGCGTGACATTTTGAATGATGCGTGGTACGCAGTATGTATTTATTTCGTTATTACCCAAGACGATGGAGATGCATTGTATGTACTACTATGACACTTTATCAGAGAAAATAAAAAACGGAACTACTATGACAATAATGTGATGAATGCTAAGGATTTCAAAAGATTTATCTTATCTTTTTTCTCATGTTGCACAGAGCATTGCAGAGGTTCAATTACCAGCAGTTACTCACAGGGTCTACCTAGATGTAGAAATTGATGGCCAACACATAGGTACATTGCAATTAACAGCACATTGTTGGGTGTTTTAATGGAAATCTTTGGCCACCTGTTGCTTCCATTATTTCTTCATGTTTCATTAGTCATAACCATAATTACATTGTTGGCTTAATTCTTGATTGACCCGACCCCCTAATTGCAGGTAGAATTGTTATTGGTCTCTATGGGGAGGTTGTTCCAAAAACAGTTGGTATTCTTATTATACTTCTCTTTTTCCAGCATGTTCTTTTATTGATTTTGATTTTCAAAGTTTGTGTACTCCTTTGCACGGCTGGTGCTTCTTGTGCTTCTGTTCTAGACTCTTGACATGTGGCATAGTCATGTACTCACGCATTTATGAGTTTCCCCATTGCTTTGGTTAAAAGTTACCCTGTTCGAGAAGTAGAAGAAGTTTAGTTGATACATATCGATTTCTTCCATCCTTCTGTTCCTATCAGTGTGCTGTTGTGTGGTTAATGAAGATCTAGTTGTTAGCATTCTTCCTACTTTCATGATTTCGGTTATATATGCCTATGGATTCTTTTTCTTGAAAGAAGAATTTTTTTGGCTGAGACCAACCTCACTGCTTCAAACTTACAGTTATACTGTCAAAGTTTTTTTTTTTGGCAACATATATGAAATAAAATTGTCTTCACAGATTATAGTTCATCTACTAAATTTCTTTGTTCTACACTTTGCAGAAAACTTTAGGGCCCTTTGTACAGGTATTTTCTTTCCATGGCTTATTTTGTTGCCACCAAAATCCCACCTGAGCTGATAGTTCATGTCAATTTGTTCATCATTTCAGGTGAAAAAGGTGTTGGGTCCAATGGCAAACCTCTTCACTATAAAGGAACACCATTCCATCGTATTATCCCTGGCTTCATGATTCAGGGCGGTGACATAGTTAGAGGCGACGGGAAAGGAAGTGAGTCTATATATGGAGGCATCTTCCCAGATGAGAATTTCACTGTAAAACATACACATCCAGGTGCGATTGTTCAGCTAGTGAACTTTATCATCCAGTTTGCACTTTGCCTTTGTTGAAGTTCATGTGTACTTAGTTACACATTTATTTTCAAGGAAACCAGCACTATTTTATTTGACACTAGTGATGCTATCTCTATTAAAGAATATGCAACTTTTAGTTGATGCCATCTTTTTTAGATTACAACAGGGTCTGGTTTCTGATTTGTTCACTATGTAGCTACACTTGATTTCAAGAAAACTATGTACTGAGACCTACTGAGTTTTTTGTCGGCAACAAGTTTAAATATTCTGGTGTTTTACTTTGTTTATATTTCTTCCATCCTGACTTGTTGCCTGTTCGGCTGGGCTGGAGGATCGTGGATTATTACTGCTGGCTGGTTTGGTGTGAGAGAAAAATACTCTTCTGGCTGGAAGACACTGTTCATGTGAACAGTGCCCGCGTGGGTGGGCTGGCCAGCCCCAGCCCAGCCAGCCAGCCAGCCGAACAGGCTGCAACTTGGTTGGCTTTTGGCAATCGGTCAGTGTGGCCAAATCTTGAATCCGTGTTTGATCTTCTGACAGGTCTATCTGAAAATTATTAAATTAGAATGGTCATTTCCAACTCTACTCCTGCTTTGCTGTCTTGCAGGGGTTGTTGCTATGGCGAATTCTGGACTTGATTCCAATGGATCCCAGTTTTACATAACTACTATCAAGACAAGCTGGTGAGTTGTGTTACACACCAAGTCTCACCAGTGATTAACTTAGAAGCTGCAGCTCCTGAAATGGTAGCTTTGTAGGTTGGATGGGGAGCATGTTGTCTTCGGCAGGGTGATCCAGGGAATGGATACCGTGTACGCCATTGAAGGGGGTGCTGGGACTTACAATGGCAAGCCAAGGAAGAAGGCGGTGATCACTGACTCTGGTGAGATACCCAAGGAGAAATGGGGTGATCAGGAAGCGTAGGCTGTGCTCTATTCCTTGTCACCATGCCATTTTCAAATCAGGCGGCCATATACTTCTTTTGTCCTTGACCAAAATGGTGTGCCACAGTTAAACAATACTTCTGGAATGCTGTATATCGTAGCTAGTTTATGGCCAGTCGAACTGACTCTGATCCCTTGAGTTGTGATGTGGAGACGTGAAAAGTCTTTAGCCAGCGTTGTTACCTTGATACCTGGATTGCTCATCTTGTGTATGAAATTCGTCTGCTATATATATAGTACATAAGGAACATTTTTTCCTCATTCCTTTTTTGTTGAACCTAAACTTATGCTAGTGGACGCAGTTTTTAGCATTGAGTTGATTTGGTTTGTGGCGGAATTTGGCCAGTCCGGTTTCATCATGTTCGTCTGAGTGCTCACATTTTCTTAGACGTGAAGAAACAGTTTTTTTTACAACATTTTTTTTGACAACAGACGTGAAGAAACAGTTGGTTTTAACCAAACATCTTGGCGCGGATGCTTGCATTTCTTGGACAGGAAGAAATGCCGCTATGTTTTTAGTGGTGGGTGATGTGCTCTTTGATAATGTGCTTAACGGATGCTTACATTTTCATGATTTAAAATCTTATATGGTGTTTAACGGATTTATTTTAATAAATTAAAAAAGAAGATGAAACATGATTGAAACCACTTCTAACCGGACAAGGAGATAATTTAAATGGTTTTGAGAGTTGAGGGAGATATGCAATTTATCTGGCTTTGGAGTTAAGGAGAAAATCTACCCTTCGAAGATAGTTCGGGTACTTTTTCCTTAATCTAATCGGTAATGCTTGTATTCGGGTGCCCATCCACCCCGGACGGCCCCGCTCGCAGGCCGGGAGGCCCAGAAGGCTCTCCTATCTGTTCCTACCCACTCACCTCCAGACACCATAGTTTTCTAAAAAAAAAAAAAAGAAAAAACTCATCGTAGCGCCGCGAACCTGCGACCGCGCTCTGCCACACATCCCGCCCGCCATCTCCATCATGCCTCCTGCCCGCCTCTCTCCATCGCGCCTCTCTCTCTACCATGCCTTCCGCCTACCTTCTCCCCCAAGAGCGACTTGCTACGGCCTTCTCCACCGGACCTGCCGTGACCTTCTCCACCGGAGCGGCGACCTCCGCGCCACCGAGACGCTGCTGCAGGATGATGTGGCGCACGGCTGCACTCTCCCAGTCGTGCAATCCTGCCTCTTCGCCACGTTGCGGAGCCACCGCCGCCGCTGGCCCGCCGCCTACAAGCACCGTCGGGCCGCTGCCCCCGGCACGCCGATGAGCCTCCATTCTCCTAAGCAACAAAGAGATGTTGCGCTGAAAGCACATGTTGCAAGTGTTTCAGATGTTTCAGAAGTATGTTGCAAGTGTTTTATACGAATATTGCAAAAGTAGATCAGAGATATTGCATATATTGCAATGGTTGTACATGTATGTTGCAAGTTTCTGTTCCAAATGTTCCATCTGTGTTTTCATGACGTATGTTGCAAGTGTATTTATCTGGATATTACATATGTTTCACACATACTATGTTGTAAGTGTTTTACTAAATGTTGGTTATGTGTGCAATGGTTTTCAAGCGTTTATCATGTGTTTTTTAAGTGTTTCAGAAGCATGTTTCAAGTGTTTTATTTGTATTCAGACATATGTTACAACTGTTGCATCTGGATGTTTTAAAAGTAGATCGGGTGTTTGCATATGTTGCAATGTCACGCCTATTGCAGCTGCTAGAGGGGGCACGAAGGGTCAGGTGGGGCGCAGACGCCACATGGGGTTGGCCAAGGGCACAGACGCCACGTGGGGTCGGGTTGGGCGCAGACCCCACGTCGGGCTAGCACGGGGGCGAAGTGTAGGCGCGAGCGTCCGGATGTCCGGGCACCCGCACTACGGTGAAAATTCGTCTCAGTGTATTTTCTTTAGCCCAATAAAAATGTGCGTGTAGAAAAGATGGTGGATACTCCTTCGGTCCATTTTATCGCGTACACGCATATCAAGATTCAAACTTTAAAAACTTTGATCAATAATTATGCTAATAAATTTTAAATATTGTAATACAAACTTTATATGATTAGATTTGTAAGGAATTATACTATACAATGATAGTAAATAAATAATCAAAGTGTAATCTGGGAGATCGTGTCATTCTACTAACTTACGCCAAATAAAATGGACCGTAGGGAGTATCATCCATTCCTCCCCACCCCACGCCTATATCGCTGGCGGCACCGGCGCCAAAAACATCTCGACGATTAGCGGGATAAACAAAATGGCGCGCTGTCACGGGAACACGGCATGAGATGGGCAGAGCAGAAGGCGAGTCGGGGTACCAGTCCATGTTGAAGAGCTAGCTTGCATTGCCCATATCAGGCCTTGAATCAAATACGACAACACGATACTTGGTAGCATATGCATACACTCTTGTATATTTATTATTGCTATTACATTTATTTGCACATATATATTTGCATACATGTAGCTCGCAGATCTGAAAGATCTTACACATATACCAATACAGGATGGTTTATTATTTATGGGGACAATAAAAAAGCACCGATCCATTCACCGGGAGCAACTGCCATGCTGCTCTCGGCCGGCCGGTTTGACAGAGCAGATTAATTAAGCTGATGACGACTAGCAGCCACGCATGCTGTTGCAAGCCTAGCTATATATAATCGAGTCCGATCGATCCGCTCATCGATCAGTTCAACATGGTCTGAGTGGGGAGCAGGATCTTGGAGTCGAAGGCGGCGGCGGTGGCGGTGGAGTTGAGCATCCAGGTGTAGAACGGGTGGAAGACGACGGACGCGGGGCAGCTCAGCGTGGCCGGCAGCTTGGGGCACTTGATGAAGGTCTTGGCGTCCGTGTCCACGCAGAGGTAGACCTGGTACAGCTGCTTCTTGCCGAAAGGCCCGTCCCGGCACTGCAGCCCCGGCTCGACGCCAAGCTTCTGGGTCACCGCGTACTTGATCTTCGCCGTGCTGTACAGCTTGTAGTCCGGCAGGATGCCCTGGTCGGCGAGAGCGCCGAGGAGGTCCGCCTGCTTCCTCAGGTTGAGCGCCGCCTTGAAGTAGTCCAGCTGCTTTAGGCCCGAGCAGACGCCGTAGCTGTTCCAGGCGCTCTTCCACGCGTTCACGCCGTCGGTGGGCGGGCACTTGATCTTGCTCCAGTAGTGGTTGATGTTGTTCTCGATCTTGTCGAGCTGATCGATCGATCGATGAATGGGGATCATGTGCATGCATATATGCAGTGCGTCAGGTGAGACAGAGCTGCTGTGTACGTGGCCAGGTGATGCATGCGATGCGTGTGGTTGATTAAGGGGGTTTAAGAGAGAGGTGAGTTAGTTAACCTTTTTAGCATCGAAGGGACTGCCGTTGCTGCAACGGACTACGGGCTTGTTAATGGACACGTCGAAGGTTTGGAAGAACTCGACGAAGAAATCCTCCGCCGGGTAGCCGTACTTGGGCACGCAGCAACCATTGTCGCTGTCCTCGCAGTATGCACCAGGCCACTGCATACACAGCAATCCATCCATCGATTTATTAGCTAGCAAGCCTGCAATGATTTCACTGGCCTACTAACAACGACACTACTAATTATGGGATTAGCTAGGAAGCTCTCGATGAAGATGACATTAACTCAACAAATACCAATTCTGTAATATAAATTGATTTATCTAATAACCAGTTTGCCCTCGAGTGTGCACCCGGATTTTTTCAAAAACTGTAGGAAGTAACAATAGCAAAATGACAAAATAACCCGGAGTCGATTCACTTTTACGGTTTTACCTATAAACAGGGGCCTTGTAGTTGAAAAGATAATTTTTGCACTGGTAAGATAACAAAATCAAGGATTTTCTTTACCTCCCCATTACTCACACATTTTTCTTATCTTTATTTGGGTTTCTACTTTGAACTTTGAATCTGTTTGGCGATTGTCTTAAGGAAAAAAATATCAACATTATTATTTTCTGCAGGTTCATTTTGATCTCCAGATTCAATCCGCCGTCTCAGAAACAATCCAATTTTAACATTCAAATGTTGTAAAAAAACAATTTTAGCTTACAAATAATTTATAGGGCCCTCAATTCTAGATATGCTGTCATAAAGAAGAGTGTTATACACTTGCATGATGACAATGAAGTTTATGGATACAATCATTTGTCTTGGTCAACCCAACACACGGGGAGAGTAAATAGATTAGAGGTACACACATCATTTTTATATTAAGCAAAATTGTCAGTTTGGAACTTATTACTTTTGTAGTACAACACGATTCTACGGTAGAAGAAACAAATTCTAAATGACATTTTTGTTTAATATAAATGCACTTTGTAATGTAGCATCAGGCGCAAGTGTGCTTAGTGGTGTACTCCCTCCATCTTTTTTTAACTATCGTTTTCATTTCTCGAGAAGTAACTTTGACTAAATATATATAAAAAATATTAATATTTATGATATATAATTAATATCATTAGATAAATCGTTGAATCTATTTTGATAATAAATTTATTTGGAGATACATATGTTGCTAATATTTTTTACAAATCTAGTCAAACTTATTGGCACATAAATTGTAGCGACTAATATTTAGGGATATAGGGACTATGTGCGTCACCTTGTAATCGGAAGAGAAATATTATAGACAGAAAATAACAATAAATGTAATTTTGTGATTCCAGATCGGTCAAGAAAAGTAAACTGTGTACAGTCATCAGATTTAGCAATGTTAGTAGACTGTTAACTGTGAACAGGAGATTAAGCATTTGATAAGGTTCATACCATGAGGATAAGGTAAAAGAAATCAAAGGGCACCGCATTGGCAGCTGCCAGTAAGCCAAGGATCAGGCTCAACACGATTGTTCTGCGGCCTCCCATCTCTGCTATTTTGGCAACGGGGAAAGGCTGTTTGCTGCAGGCTGCCTGTTCAAGCGATCCTGTAGGTGGTATTTATAGTGAGGAGGTCGAGTGTCATCGGCGGAGCAGAGCAACATCCTCCATAGAAGTCGACCTCAAACGAAACGCAAAGGAGTGACGACCCTCCGATAAATTTTCTCTGTTTATTTTCCTCCATGAATATAATCATATATACTCTTGCTTGAATACTTATTTAATTTGTTCAATAAGATCGCAAAAATTGTTTCTCATCTAGCATAGTCCAAGAACGATACAGGCTGTAAGAATCATGTGCCCAAATGTACGATCATATATGGTTTTATAGTGATTTAGATGACAACACAAGATGCTCTGACAATTGAGAGCACTAGATGATCTGACAAGATTGCGACAAGAAGAACTAACTACGACCTAATGATGAATAGTCTTTACTGACCCAATTCACCCCTTCCCCATCTTTGGTCACCACTCAAGTCCATTATTTGTATAAATACCCCCTCGACACTTTCTGTAGGAGGTATCAAAAGTATAACGATCAAACTTGAAGGGTTGGGTATAACACCTCCTTTCTTTAGCCTTGCTATTGTTCTAAACTTAAAACTACTCCTTGAGCCCAAGTTCATCTAGCCCACTAAGAATTCAGTATAAATATTTGTCCTTACTACCCACCCAATTCCATGCGCACAAACATCTGCACTGTCAGTGGTAATTCCTTTGACAATAGGTGTGGGTGTGAGAGAGAAGCTAGGGTTTGGGTGTATATATATACTTGAGGCTGGTTTTCAACACTGGTTGAATACACAAACCAGTGGTGAAAGTCATTATCAATGTCGGTTATCTTACAAACCAAGGGTGCAAATGATTTTCACCACTGGTTCGTAATGAATTGGCCATGATAATATATCAATGCAGTTTTAACAGAACTGATGGTAAAAATAGCGTTGGTAAAGGTAAAAATAGCGTTGATAAAATCATTTATGTAGTAGTGTCCTACCCCCTCTATCCTAAAATATAAGGCATGCATATATTTTAAAATTTAAACTTTGTTATCTTTGACTAGCAAATGATATGAAAAGTTTATACTACAAAAGTGGTTACATGAGATTTATATTTATACATACTTTCTAATGATCAAACTTTTGTTTCCACAAATTATGTATTATATATAGGAAAATAATTAGCGGTCAAAATATGATTTTGAAGACTGCACCAAGTTAAAATCGTGCTTTATGGTTTGGGGAGAAGAAAGCACTAGACAGGTATATAGGACTATATTGTTTCGGTGTGTGGCCCCGCTAGCTTAATTTCCTACGAAGGAAGGTGATATTTGCCTTTCTGAATTGTCACATCATATATTATGCTTCCTCCATTTTAAATTATAATTATGTTATTTTAGATTTTTTAGGTACATAACTTTAGTTATATACTTAGATATAGACAATAAAAACTAAGTAAAAAAGGCTGATCAACTCATTGGATTGTATCAAACATATACACACGTGTCCATTTAGACCTTTTCACATAATCTCACAAAATATTGTTGAATGTGAAACTGAAAGGTGCTGCACGAGAAGATGTGTGGTTCTAATCGTCACAAAATAGTGTCTCCTGTCTTCATTCGTACCAACATGGGTGAGAGTAACTCCAAGAGACTCTTTATATCCTTCATAATTTATAGGAATAAAAATTTTAGTGAAAAAATATTCTCCAACAACCTCTTTGGATCTCCAAATATAGACATCCTCGATTTTAGATTTCTCGCTAACCTAAGATGAAGAGCGAGAATAAATCTCTAGAGTGCACACAGATATAGAAAAACTGTTGGAGGGCACAAGATATACAAAGCAATTTTTACTCAAATGACTATCCAAATAATGTAAGCCGGAGATTGTGCTGAATCCGGGCTTTTCTTCTACGTGTTTGCCGCTTCTTATTTCCTTAGTTTACCCAATGTGTCGGACTACGACATGTAGATAAACTTCCTTTATTCATTCATTCTTTAATTGAGAGGCAGAGCTCCTGTCGTTTATTAAAAAAACTATCTAAATGATATTTTAGAGAGTAAAATTTTAAAACGACTCTTGGAGATGCTTTAAGAGAGGTTGGAGCCCGGCCTCTCTCTTGACTCCACGTTGGATCCGCCCCTAATTGGGCATGCCATCTTCGTGACCGTGAGGGTTACAACTTACCACTTTTTTTCTTCACAAAAGGACCCTCTTATACTGCAAGCATTAGCTGACTAAATTTATATAAAAGAATAAATCAAATAGACATATTATGAAAATATATTTTATGGTATTATTTAATGGTAGTAGTTTGACTAAATATAAGTTTAGTTAGACATAAAAATGGCTTAAGATCTGTAGGATTTTTTATTTATGTATTAGAGATGGAGGGAGAATGAGCGCGATCACGCGGCCGGGGCCGCCGGCCCATTGATCGAGATCGACGCAGACGGATAATGTTACAATCAGACGGGCCCAACCCGTCGTCGCATGCATTGTGCGTCGTCGTATATATACGGGACGAGGATATTCCGCAACGTGCTACAATGCACGTGAGTACAATACGCGTGTCTCGATCTGGTCGGCATGTAACGCCAGCGTCTGTGCATGTATACGTAGACAAGTGGCCGAACGAAAGGAGCGGTCGGGCCCGGCCAAACCGGACATCATGTCTCCGTTGGCTTGGCTGAAATTGGCTGAAAAACACTGTTCTAGCTAAATTATTGTGAGAGAAAAATATTGTTTCGGCTGAAAAAACAAGCTGAATAGTGCCGCTTTTAAGGTCAGCCGGACGGGGCCCACTAGCTGTGTGGTGCCTAGCCTATTTAGCACACGGAGCTACCACACCGTATATATCCGTATGTATGTATGAGACTAGGCATTCATCGTTCCAGTCTCTCCTCGACAATTAACGTGCGCGTCGTCGTCGTCCTCTCTCCAATTGTGCGGAGGGAGGAGCGCGCGCCGAGCTGCTGCATGCAAGTGCACACGAGACGAGCTAGGACGACGATATCATCAATTCATCATCAGGCACACGAGACGAGAGGACCAGAGCATATTCCGGGCGGGAGCCCGGAGGTTAGCTATAGCACGAGCAGCTGAAAGGTGCGTCCGTGGACGTGCACGAGTCGTCGCAGCATCGACATCGACATCGACATCGACGCCCACCCGCGTCTGACAAATTATACTCGACGCTGCAACGACACAGCAACAGCAACCTAGCAGACGGGGAGGACAATAATTCAGTCTGCGTCCCATCGTCCTGCATGACAGAGCGTGCTCGACCGGCCACGCACGTCGTACGTCGATCGGATCGGAGTCGATCTCTCGGATATCGCCGAACAAGGTGACAAGCCAAGTGACGACGCATAGTACGCTTTCCCAGTACACGCTAGCTGTTTGGACTGTTTATAATTAAAGCAGTATATATATATATATATATATATATATATATATATATATATATATATATATATATATATATATATATATATATATATATATATATATATATATATATATATATATATATATATATATGCCTCGTTCGCTTAGAGAAATCTGGAGAATTTGTAAGAGAAAATCAGCCGTAAACAGTACTTTCAGCCATGGACAGTAAAATTATGGCACTAGCCGAGCGGGGCCATATTCGCAACTTATTGAAGAAACAATGAAAATTTCTTTCTTTCATTTTTCACTCTTGTTCGTCCATCACCTCTCTTCTATCATTTTTCCTGTTCGCTCATCCCTTATCCCTCTTCGATCCTTTGGTCATCGTCTCTCACTCTTATCCATCATGTTTTGAGTTTGGAGTTATAAAATATTTGTTCGCTCATCCCTTATCCCTCTTCGGTCCTTTGGTCGCTCGAGCCCATTCGCGTCATGGCTCATCTTCCACCTTTCTTAAACTCACACAGGGTGATATAGTCGATCACATATTTAAGCTAAAGTCAATCTCATATCAATTTCTCATGCGAGCCATTGCACTAGCATTTATTATGGGCCATGCTTGGAATTATTTGATTTAAAGGTTGGGTCAAACCCGATTAAATGCAACAAAAATGGCTAGCTCATTATCATTGGCATGAGCAATGCACAACAAATTGTATGTCCAATTAAAACACACGAGCATACATGTTTGCTAGTCAAATAAAATATATTATGATATCCATCCTAAGTTTAACTAAATTTATGGAGATGAATATTAACACCAACCAAGTCAAATAGGTAAATCGTAAAAATGTCTAGGTATTGCTAAATGGACTACTAAAAGGCTTTCACTGGAACCTCCACATTACTTCAACCATAAACCTATAAGACCAATTTCTGTAACACCGACATTTTTATCAACATAGAACTAGCCAGTGCGCGTACACTTCTTTGCCCTTTCCAAGCACAACTCTAAGTCGATTCACTACTTTAAATATCTGTCTAATTCCCATCAAATGATTTTCTTGTTCCAGCAGTACATGCGATAACGCATGTAGACCATCTTCTTGCACTATGACACATAATATTTTCGAAGACTATCTCAAATGAAAAACTCTTGTAGAGCACTTGTGCCTCCCCATACGAGGCATTTGAAAAATTCTAAATTTGAATTATAAGATCTGAGAACTTAAAACGTATCTTTGGGTTCTTAAACGATTTCAAATATAAAACTCATCAATGACATCGTTTTAGATCATATCTACTACATAGTTTTAGATCTACAGTTTTAATATAAAGTTTGTCTTCAACCTCATACAAAAAAGTCTGATTTTTTTGTGTGGCACTTATTTACAGGTTGGTTCAAATTACTAACTGTCTTTGAAAATCGCATTTCTAGAAATATAAGGGCTAGTTGGTAACACCAATCGCTTGAGTGTTGTTTTGATTCAACCATTGAGCATTAGTGTCCCCAAGCACATTACACATCTATTATAAATAACTTGGCCTAGTAAGGTACCTAGCCCAGGTCAGTGATTGTTACAAACAACAGTCCCTTTAGTTTGAAGTGTTGTCACATATGCTCATCCTGCACATTGACACCTTGATTCCACAACTTGAGTACATCGTCGAACAATGGTTCCAAATACACATTGATATCATTGTTAGGTTGCCTCGACCCTTTGATCATTAATGACATCGTTAAATATATCAGCTTCAAATGCTGTGGAATCGCACCATAAGAAGCATGCACCAAAAATAGACCATAAGCTTAATGTTCACCATCAATGGGTGATCCGTCATGCTCCACGCAGGTGCACCAGATCATACGGCGAAACATAGTACCTTGTCTACTTGACACGGTCAAGTCACAGTACCACAAGATGATCCACTGTTACTCTGTGAGCCACTCAAGCTCAACGGATCATACGTTGCAACACACTACAGCGATTAAGTTCAAACCGAGTTGTACACGGTGCCACCGGATGATCCCCTAAGTAGGTCGTCCCAACCACCCGGTGCATATCCTGAGCTCATTTGTCCGATCTCTTCCAATTTAATTTCTTCGAGATTGTCGACTTAAAACCTATCGGTGAAGTCACTTACACACTAAATCAATGGAGTTACTTTGAGAAAATGTTCTTCTTTTTCGTGCTTGTTATGTACTATTTCAATAATGTGCATTCGTACCTAATACATAATGTGAAGCAATACCATACATCCTACGTCGAGTCTCATGAGTTGACCTGATCTAATCATTTCCTTTGCGCCTAGCATTGCTTCTGCTAATATACTGTCCAACTTAGGGCTCATGATTAAGGAAGTTCTCACGTACATTGGAAAATGGGACACACATACGTATTTGTATTACTCAAAATCTTCGTTCTTTGTGTGTCCTTTAGATTAATCAATCTACTTCTACTTAGGTACTATACCCTTATTCCTTACCATCCACTGTTTTGGGTGGTCAGCAATTAGGATTGCACTATTAATTAAATTGCCCATGGTAAATTAAGATTAACTTAATTACTAGTACGTGTAACTATATATTATATCATGTAGGTACCATACTAATCGTTTCAGACTTGTACGTGTAGGTTTTCTCCTTTTTTAACTAGCAAACATACATGTGCATTGCCACAGAATGTTCAGTTTGTTGCGTGGCTGCTTAGACAACTTGTGGCTTCAAGATTTATTTAGCGATCATGCCATGTATTTCAATTCATCTAGGAATTGAACTCCGACTCCGTGCTATGTGAATCATCAACTATTTCCTCACGTGTTCATTTCATTTTGAGATTGAACTCACACCACGCCTAAACACTTAACTCTCGTATGGACATATGAGAGATTGGTGGACCATGAAAACACTTTGTATTTCAATTCGTTTGGTATCGTACTAATACGCTACTCTTACTTGTACAGGACGGGAGAGCGAGATTGAGTCCATGGATATCCCCATCATCGAATCTATTATGAACAAAATAAACCTTTTGATCTTTAATATTAGGAAATAGAAAATAGAATAGACGATTGGAAGGGCCACCGGGTACGTCTCAAGGTTTATTTCCATAATACAGGGGGGAAAGTCGAATAAACAAAGCCACATTATTCGTTGGGCATCACCGTGCATTGCCCAGAGCGAGTGAGGATCAAGGCAGAAAACATTATTATTCCTTGCGCACGTCACTGAAACGTACGCAAACTCACGAACGACGAGGTAGATGGATGATGGATCGGCGGGTGGCTCCGACGACGAAACGCAGACTCACGAAAATGCAGACGACGATCGCAGATCATCAGTTGTCCATGGCGAGGCCAGGCAGCTGGAAAGGGTCGGCGGCGGCCTCGTAGAACTCGGCGGAGTCGTCGTTGAGCTGCTGCTTGAGCATCCACTTCTTGTAGGGGTGGAAGAGGACGGTCTTGGAGCACGTGTACTGCGGCGGCGCGGGGCAGTCGATGAACGTCCCGTTCCCGTTCGCGCAGAAGTAGAGCTGGTACAGCATGTACTTGTCGAAGGGGCCCTTGCTGCACTGGATCACCGGCTCCGCGTTGATTCCGTTCTTGAACACCTTCTTGATCGCCTTCAGGCCGTAGAGGTTGAAGTCATCCTGGATACCTGCAGCAAAAGATAGGCCAGCCAGGTCGTGTAACATAGGACTCGTCAGCTCGATCTATGCATGTTTAATTTACCATTTTTTTTGAGGCGAACAAGGGGTTGATCCGGCTACGGAAGGAGAGGGCCTTCTCGAAGTAGGCTTTCTCGTCGAGGCCGGAGCAGGCGCCGGCCTTCTTCCAGGCGTTCTTCCAGCTGCTCTGGCCGTTGTTGCTGGGGCACTTGATGTTGCTCCAGTACTGCTCCAGGCCGATGCCGGTAATCTGTCGATGGACATTGTTGCACACACACAAATTAAAGGTGTCACACCTACAACACGTACTACATGTGCATATATATGTCGAGCTGGAGCGAGAGTCTGCGTATGAACCAGGTTAGGGTTGTAAGGAGCTTGATTGCTGCATTCCGTGACTGCAGCGTCGGTGGTCGCGTTGTAGACGGTGAGGCCCGTTATGTAGAAGTCGCGCGCCGGCGAGACGCCGGTCGTCGGCTTGCAGCATCCAGCGCTGGTCTGCTCGCAGTATGCTCCGGGCCACTGCGTGCGTCCATGATCGAGCACACCATCATGCGCGAGATAGAGTTGATCAGGGAATTGATGGAGCGGCCGGGTAATAATGCGCGGTCGGACGTTCAGCCATTATACAAGTGGTTGTACGTTCTCTCGTATACGTCCATGCCTACTACTATCTGTGATGACAAGGCCAGTGCCATAATTTGCCTCACGTACCAATCAAATTATCATCCAATCCGGAAAAACATGCAGGCCAGTGGTCCATGACAAATCTGCTTATGGATGGGTTCCACATGCATCGTCTCCGGAGTTGTTCATTTCACTTGTTATTTATATATATGTGTGTGTATATACTCCTATTACATTACAGCCCAATCTACATATATTAATAATGACTAATGAGAACGACATCCGTGCATATATCCATAATCCATGTAGGTTTAGCCTTCTTAGCTACTCCGTTAGCACTAGCAGGACACAAATTTTAAGATCATGCGTTAGTGTTCTTGGATTGTACACATGTTTTTTTTATGCCATTATAACTGAATTAACCTGACCGTAAGACCTATCTCAATTAATGAAACTAACAGTACAAAATACATATAGTGAGTGAAGAAGAAATAGCTAGCTCCTGTGCGTACCAGAAGAGCAAGCTGGTAGTAGATACCGGAGTCATCAGCAGCAATTGCGGGCGAAGCTACTAGCAGCAGCAAGCCAAGGAGGCACAGGAGCGGGATCCTGGAAGCCATATGGAATGGACCCCCTCGCTACCTATCACGGTATTATCGTGGACACCAAAACGATGGATGCCTAGCTAGCGACTCACCATCTACCACGAATGGCACCGAGATGAGCATGGCCTCCATCGCGTGGGTACTTATAGGCAGACGAGCGCGCGTCCGTACCACGAGCGCCCTCATTTTCTTTCCTCGCTCATTTTTATTTAGAGTAAAGTTCATGGCCGGTCTTCGAACTTGTGAGGGTATGTCATCCCGATCATCGAACTCAGAAAGTATATCATTTTCGGTCCTTAAACTTCATTTGAGTCTCATATTCATTCAAACTCCGTTTGGGTCTCATATTCATTCAAACGGGTATGCTGTGCTGTGCTCCTCTCTCATCCACTGCAATAAGCGCAAGCGTCTGGTATGATACGAACCCAAGCCAAACTAGGATTCGGTGCATACTCATTAAGCAAACATTTATGTGTACAAGGAAATGTTATTACCAGAAAGCTGCACGAGTTCTTTTATCAAGAGAGAGGAAAATTTTATCTGGCCTAGGCCCTGCACAAGCGTTTGATGTGTATGTTGAAAAGGGGAGAGGCAATAACCAAATCCATCCTATTTGGTAGACTGTTTGCCATACACATCCAACCCACCTCTGGAGAAGGTCTTACGCCTCTACTCTCCAGGTGATGAATAAAAGCTCTTAGAAAGCTCTCAAAACACAAACCAAGCAAGCCACCAATTATACTATTTTGGAGCAAGTATTCTATTTGAAACACTTAGGCCCCGTTCGTGTGCCCTTAAACCTGGCTTGATCCGCTTCTTTTTTCATCCGGAACAATGTTTTTCTCTCACAAATTCCTCCAGCATTCCTCCAAACCATCCAAATTCCTCCAGAATTCCTCCAAGCGAACAAGCCCTTATTGTGCATTTTGAGTGTTGGGAGGCTGTTCTTGCAGATGTATTGTGTCTTTTTATTTGCTACATCAAAACGAGTAAGATATCACTATTACAAAGTTGTACTTCATTCTCGTCGAGATCACCAACTTTGGTATTGGTCGTTTCACCATCCGAGGTTGTTTAACAGATTTGAATTTCAAATTGTGAGAACTTGTCCGATACTTTTAAGATCTTAAATGATTTCAAATAAGAAAAGTCATCAGCTACAAAGTTGTAGTTCTCATCGAGATATATAACTTTGGTTTTGGTCGATTTTTCCATCCAAGGTCGTTTGAATTTTTTTTAATTTCATAAAGTGGGTCAGCTATAAAGTCCCATCTACAACTTTACTTCTAGTCATTTTCCATCCGATGTCATTTGGACAATTCAAAAAATCTAAATTTTGATATAAGAGAACTTCAAACAATATTTTAGGACCATAAATGATTTCAAATAAAAAATTCGTCAACTAGAAAGTTGTAGATCTTATCGAAACTTACAACTCTAATATAAAGTTCGTCTTCATCCGATTCAATTTGAAGAAGATATTAGTTTTATTATACTGTAGCATTGTCATCACCGCCGACGCATAAGTCATACCATTGGTGAAAATGATTTTCACTACCGGTTTGTAACAAAAATCGACAGTGATGATGAACTATCTCCAATGCTTCCTCACACGAACCGCCCATGATAATGGGCCTCATTATCACCAACTGTTTATAATACGAATCGGCGGTGAAAATTATTTCACCAACGGTTCGTAACATAAACCGACGCTGATAAGCATCACCAAACGGCTTGAAACAAACCAGCGGTGAAAGTGGCAGTGGTGATGATGAATTGGTGGTGGATGATCGACTTTTTAATCTCCTAGACTAGAAACAACTTCAGTGGGCCGTGCTGCTCGGATTATTGCTACTGCATCTAAAGATACTTCCACAGAAGAAGCCAATCGTTTGAGCACATTATTCATTCCACAGAAGAAGCCAATCGTTTGAGCACATTATTCACTGTTGTGTGCTTGCAGCAAGCAACCACTAGTGCATATGTGGGCTTTAATCTCGGTTGGGAACTAGCTTTAGTCCCAGTTCTTCAACCGGGACTACGGATCATCCGGGACTAAAGGTCAAGGGGCACGGAACCGGGGCTAAAGTCCATCATTGAAACTAAAAAAATAATTTAAATCATAGGAGACCTATCTTGTAGTGCGTGAGATTTGAACTTAATTTAAATCTTAGGAGACCTATCTTGTAGTGCGTGAGATTTGAATCCAAGACCTCTTGCCTCATGAGTAGATCCCTTATCAACTCAACTACATACCATATGTGGTAAAGTCCTGGACACTCTTCTTTTGAATTAACCGTCGGGGGCTTTTAGTCCCGGGTGGGAGACATTTAGTCCGGATTGGTGACACCAACCTATTTTTCGATTTTTATCGGACTAAAAAAAGGTCACCCTTTAATTCGGTTGGTGTTACTAAATCTTGTTGGCGAGTGTTACACTCGGCCAACCATTTGCCGAAGTGTTTTATGTCCAACTAAAGACTACATCAATTAGGACTAAAATGTCACCATTTGGTAGCAAACGGACACTCTCCTTTTTTGAATTAACCGTCAGTGGGCTTTCAGTCCGAGTTGGAAGACATTTAGTCGGATTGGTGACACCAGCCAGGGGACTAAAAGGTCACCTTTAATTGGTTGCAATGTTACCAACCCAACACCCAGCACTAAAGGTCATTTAGTCCTGATTGATAACTAAGGGTCATTTAGTCCCGATTTTTAGTAGCTTTTAGTCCCAATTGATATTACCGACCAGCATAAAAAGAACTTCGGTGCCTGTAAAATTTAAACCTAAAAGTAATGATCACGTTAGTACCGAACTCCAACACAACACAACCGAAACGAAAGGCGCGAATCGAAAATCGTTTCCGAGCTAGCGCATGAGTCAGACGCCTACCTTGTGACTGTGAACCACTCATCTCGATCGATTGGATAGCCGTAGCCTTTGCACCGTGCACGTCTACCGCAGGCACGAGTAGTACGAGTACGACCACACCACCCCGTAGTATAGTACAGACGAGTAGACGACGTAGGAGTATTTTGCAGTACGACGTGACGTGAGGCGTGGCACCTGCCGACCGGGGCCACCCGATACGAAACGTGCGCGAAACGACATGCGGCCCAACTGCCTCGATGGATCGTTCTGCCGGGCTCATGTGCGCGTCCACGTTGTGAATGAGCGAATCCTCCCACAGTCGTCAGCTTAAGGGCTTCTACGATGCTCCCGTAGACGGAGAATTTAGTTTAAGTTCTACACCAAATCACTTCGACATATATGAATTGAGGTGAATATATATAGATTCAAACCCGGCGTAACTAGAGGCCGTGAGGCTCTATCTTGTCCTCAAGCGGTCGTTACTGTGGCCCTGTTTATATCTCCTAGCGAAAATGAGAATGAGGGCAAGAAAATGAAAATAAAATTCAAATACTTGAATTTAGTATGAGATTTTAGAATCCAACTTCTAACAAGAAACCTGAAACATACCATTTAAAGTTTTTTTTTCACTACATAAAGCTTTTTTTGCGAGCAAAGAGATAAACTTTATTAGCTAGCCACTGGCGGATTACAATCGGCATTAAGGAAGGTCCAAACACACGTAGGTACTTGTCCTTCTCAGGCTGCAGAATGATTACCGTCCTGTTTGTTTGGGCTTGTTTGGCTACTGTTGACTGATTTGATGTGAGAGAAAAATACTATTCATTGGCTGATAAGCCATGGCTTATAAGCCGAATACGACCAAGCGAACAGGCTATACAACGTCTAACTACTAAACTTAAAGCATTTGCTACTTGATTGCATTCTCTCTTCCCACGGGAACACTTCTAATCACTCGTTAGTCGGGTCAAGCCTCTTGCTTCCTCGATTATTGGGCCAATCTCTGAGGGTCTGACATGTCCACCAAATGACTTCTCGTGGAAGATATAGGCCCTGTTCGCTTTGTTGAAAAGCTATGATTGAAAGTATTGTTCGTTAATTTACTGTGAGAGAAATGAACTGGGCCATAATTTTTGCATAGTCTGACTCAATTATTACCTGTGATAGCCCCCAATGATTTGCCCAACGAAGACATTCAAAGCATGCGAGGGCCTCAGCCTCTGGTGCACTGCTACATTTTCCCAAGAATTTCCAGGCCAAAAAGATTACCGCTCCGTTCCGGTCCCTGGCGACTGCGATTGCTCCAGCTTCACCATATTGCTCCCAATTAATAATCTAATTGAGAATAAGACCCAAACATCCTTCATGTTTGTATCTATAATCCATATTCTAAATTACTATCTAAAATCATTATTAGAATTAGATCAAAACAACGTCTGAGTTTGGGCCGCTCACCCTTTTGTTCACGTGCAACTCCATGGCTTTGTTAAGCGGGGGGAGGGGGACACACTTTTAGCGTTCAGTTTCACCTCGACCTTTAAAATCAGATATCCTATCTCTAAGTCGGATATCTTACCTCCACAACTTTCAAATCATTTGAATTATCTATGTACCTAGGTCAGAAATAGTTTTCAATGTGGTTTTATCATTTTGTATTTAAATATAAAAATCCGATAAACTCCTTATACAATTTTAAACCTAAAAAATGTCACAAGGCTTCTAAAAAATCTAAGAAAACCATAAAGATAAATTGAGACACAAGAAACTCATATGAAATATTTAGAGCTTATGAAAATATATATCGAGAATCTTTCAGAAAATTAGATTGTCATTGGCACTTGCACTACACACCCATGCGAAGTGATGGTATCAACGACGCTTTGTGACACACCCATGTGGGCCAGGGATGGACCCAACTCAATTCATGGTTATCCAGTTGTTTACCCATTAGGTTTTTGTAGATATTGAGTATATATGTATGCTTCCTATCATTATTATCTAAAAAACATTGTATAATTTGTATATCTGTGAAAAAAGAAGTTTGCATATATTCAGGCAGTAGCCTAGTAGATTTCTTTCCTCCATGTTAGCCCATCAATCCATCACCTTAAAAAGGCCAAATCCGCATGCTCCGAAGCAACTTT